AGTTGCCAGCGGGGATCCTTGTCCCCTGCCATTGCACTCTGTGTTACCAGGGCCAGTGCCTGCCCTTGCAGGGGAATAACGAAGTGGAAGGAATCCAGAGTCTGTGGATTCCTCGGAAGTCTGTGCTGGGCAGCACTATTGCATCCTGGCTTGGCTCCTGACCATTCCTGGGTGAAACTGCTGCTGCTCTTTTTAATTTATGTAAGGGCAAAACTCCTGGATGATGGAAAACACAACCCTGAAGTATCAATTTTTTTCCCTCGGGAAAACCAGAGAGCTGCTAGAACACACATGACATCAGATTTCTGTCCCCACTCCGGCTGCTCAGTTCCTGGTTTCCCAGAGTGTGGGCAGCCTGGCTTTGGCTTGTGGCTGGCTGCTCTGTGGCCTCCACCACCTGTGGTCAGAGGCATCATCTGCATCTTTCCCACATGCCAAGTTATGCTGCAGGGTTTCCGTATGGAGCTCACAAGACATTTTAACTGATACAGGCAACATATTAGGGATGAAAGGTCTATTTTTCTGGATAATTTCCTTCCTTGGGATGGCTGCTGACATACCAGATATATTTGCCTTTCTTTGGCTTCCCCTTCACCCACATCTCCCACAACACAATTCCTAATGGCTGAGAGCTCACTTAGGCTTAATTCGCATTAATGGCGCAGTGGTCTGACCAGATAAAACATCCTGCTGGGGTGGAGGTACGTGAGAAGGGACAGAGCTAAGCTGCCCTTTCTGCAGCACATTTAATCCACTGGGTGAATAGGAGGTGACAAGAGAGAAGAGGAATTTTTTTTAAGCCACCAACATAAAAGAATCTTGATGTGAGTTTAAAAAAACATTAAGAAAGCACTTCCTGTGTTCAACAACAGGCTCTTCACAGGCACTTTCTAGAGCTAAGCTACACTGCAATGCACAGGGCTGCTTTGGATTAAACACCACGTTCACCTGAGCTTGTAAGAGCAAGAAACAACCAAGCGCAGAGGGAATAGCAATTTTCTCCTCATACCTGAGTGGTCTTGTGGATGTACCGGCGTATGATGTCTCTAATGTTGCTGTTCTTCTCTGTTTGGAAATACACAGTGGCGGTGGATTTTTCCTTTAAATAGGGTTTCTCTGCTGTAATCCATGTGTGGAGCAGAGCTGGCTCACTGCTGTCGGAAATGGTGGGGAAGTAGGTTCCCGAAGGCAGTGACCCGGCGTCGTTCTGCTTTGGCGCGGCTGCCCCGTCGGCACCTGGGGACTCCTGTGCATAATAAGATTCCCTGGCGTTATCCTTGATGTACTGAGCTTCCACCGAGGAGAGGAAATCCACCTCACCCTCTTTGCTTAGAGTTTCGAGGTAAGAGTCTCTCCCACCATCCAAGAAGGCGTCGGTGGCCAATCTTATGCTTTCGTTGTGGCTGAAGTCCACTTTTGTCAGCTTCGGGGACTGGTTCTTGATATCCTCCAGCCTCTTCTTTATCTTGCCCATATGTCTGGGGTGGTTCATGGCTCTTTGTCGCAGCAGCCGATCTGCCGGGCAGGCACCATGCATATGCGTGCCACAGGCAGTGCAATCGACCTTCTTGTTTGAGCACTGCATTCTGGCATGAAATCGCCTCAGCCGAACGAATTAACTATGAATAAAAATAAAGAGATCTTATTACCACAGGCAAATTCACACTCCCTGAATGTGTCTGTACAATTATCTTCAAAACGAACCTGAAGCTTGCTTCTCAGGTGCTGGTGTACTCCGGCAACAATCTGTTTCCAGATGGGACACAAAAGCAAAGCTGATTACAGATTGCTTATCTGAGAGGCACCCACCTCAGCCCCAGGCCATACGAAGGATTCGAGTCAAATTTACCACGGCCGTCGGATTCGATTGTATTCGCCTTCTTGTCGCATCCTGTGAAATATGAGTGAGGAAAGCACTCAAGCAAAAGCAGGTAGGCTCCCAAGCATCATTGCACAATCTTCAAAACAGCTTGAGGCTTCTCTGTCTTCCCATAGTATTTGTTAGGGAGAAAAAACAGCTCTGATGTTGACCTGGAGCGGAGACAGTAGCCATGTCCATGGCTTCAAAACAGCAGAAAGGGTCATGGGCTCTGTTCTGCACCTACATGCTGCCAGGCAGGCTTAAAACTGGATGTGAACTTCGTCACTGTGCCCCGTCCGGAGTATGTTGCTATTACCATTGACGATTCACTCATTTCTTTAAAGCTTTGTGACTACGCCATCCTATTAAAAGAAAAATACCCCTTCCCAAACATCCTGACTATTACGTGGAGGGAGGGTTGTGAGCTGGCCTCAAAGCATCAGAAATGCAAACACTCATCACTTGATTGTGCACATTTAAGACTTTTTTTTTTTTTTTTGGTGGTGGTGGCAGGTCCTTTTTTTTTTTTTTTTTTTTTTTTTCCCAGGCTGCAGCTGCTGGAGTCACGTTGCCCCCGTGGCAGCTCCCGGTGTGTCATTAGGCGGATGGAGGCGCGGCCGGCCGGGCAGCGGTGGCAGCGCAGGGCCCGGGGGCAGCCGGGCCGGCCGGGCTGGCCGGGGAGAGGCGGGGCGGGAGCGCTGCCCGGGGTGTCCATACCTGCGTGCGTGCCGGGCTGCAGTGCCACGCCTGACACGCTTCCTACGGCGGGCTGGCCCCGTGTCCGTGCCACGGCTGTGCCGCGGGACCGCGGGATGGAGAAGAGGATGCGCGGCCTGGGCGCTTGTGCTGCTGAGGCCGTGTGCGGGCACCGAGAAGCTCCCTGGGGAGCACGGGTGACTTCGGGGACGCACAGGGACAGCTTTTCAGGGCAGCTTCACAGATTCTGGAGCTCTGTCAGGTGCCCTATGGAGTGGGGGAAAAAATAATCACACGTAAAGATGAGACAAAGATGTATGAAACACAGAACAGCGTTAAATGGCTCGGATATTAATCCTGAAGCGACCACGTGGGGCCGAACAGGGGCGGTGGCAGGGCCGTCCTGAGCTTCTGGGGTGATTTTAAAAACTACCCCGTCCCTCCCTCCGCCCCCAACATCCGCCCGCAGCTGCCAGACGCGGCCGAAAGTCACTAATTATCTCCTGACCTGTTCTGCGCAATTAGGCCGAAAATGATGCCATCTAATTACCCTGACATTCAGGACTGTGCCCTCCCAGCGCCGATCGGGGCCAGGGACGGCCCTCCCCTCCTCGGCCAGCATCTCTCATGGTCACCCCGGTGTCACTTAGGGTCACCCCGGTGTCACTCAGGGTCACCCTGGTCCCCCACAAGGGCACGGCGGGGCTCCTCACGTATTATACATAGTATGGGGCCTCACTGCCACCCTAGCGAACCCCGCTGTCACGCTGCGGTCCCACACGATCTCTCCGAGCCCCCGCACGGCCAGCACACCCCAGCTGTGGGCGGAGGAGGAGCCGGGCTGGGCCGGGCCGTGCCGGGCCGCGTCCTCCCTTGGCCCGGGCGGGGAGCGAGGGCGCCGCTAGGACCGAGAGCCGTCACGGAGCAGCTGCCTTCAGCCGCCTCGTTAGCGCAGTAGGTAGCGCGTCAGTCTCATAATCTGAAGGTCGTGAGTTCGATCCTCACACGGGGCAAAGGCGGGCAGCAGTTTTTGCTCTCGGCCGCCCCCACCGCGCTTTTAGCGGCGACAAACTCGCCCCACACCGCGCTCCGAGCCGGCCCGCGACTTCCAAACCTGCTGGTCCTGATTTCCGAAGCGGCGGTTCCGGGTCAAGCGCCTGTCTCTGCCGGGGATGTGCGGGAATAACTCTGCGATGGTTCCAGCTTTCGGCAGCCGGGTTTCGGCTCTCGGGAATAACTGCGATGTTTCCAGCTTTCGGCAGCTGTCTGCCAGCCCGTGCAGGGATGTGCGGACGGGGAAATGGCTCCTGCGCTGGGCAGTGGGCACAGCGGGGTCAGGCCGCGCCCGGCTGAGGGCAGCTCCCAGGAGCTGCTGTGGGGACACGGCAGGACACCGGTCCTGCCTGCCAGAAACACTCGAGTTTATGCACTTTTACAGCCTTACCACTTTTGCAAACCATAAGCACGTACACATGGAGCCCATGGTGCAGGCCAAACCTCAGCGGGTTTACTATTTCCCTTTACAGAAACAATCATATGCCAACTCTAAGACAATCAGAAAAAGACAATTTTTCTCATTTACTCCCTCTGCCTCTGAGATGATCCTGGCTTGTTGCATTTTTCTCCCTTTGAAAAGGAATGATGCCTCTTCACGCTCAGCTGAGGGCTGCAATGAGATTTCTCTGGATCCTGGGTGCCGCTAATGTGACTCTTCCTACTCCCTGATGCAGAGGATGCTAAGGCAAAGATAACCAAGTACCTTTGTGCTTTTAGGTTTTGATGAAGTTTAACAGGAAGCAGAGAGGCTGTTCCCTGCCCCAGGTGACAAAAAGCTGCTGGTTAGAGGCCTCATCCTGGGTCTGCCCGGTTCCTCAGCTCCCAGGGCCAGCACGAGCAGTCCTGCTCCCATACTGCTGCCCCAAAGAGCATCAGCAAAACCCCAGGGGAAGCAGAACAAATTAAGATCCCAGTCCTCATATTTTCACAGGGCCAAGTCTACCCCTGTATCAGCACTGTGTGTAGCAATTATGGATGAGTCACTTTAATTAACTTTGCCCTATTCCTTTTTCCTGTAACATCACATAATGTTCTTGACTTGGGTCAAAAGCATTAGCCATCAGTACCACAAGCACTACAAAGAGCAAGGTATTTGTTTAGATCCTCTCTCCCATTCTTTCTAATGAAATGAACCTGCTAGCTAATATGTGTAACAACTACACACATCTCCAGCAGCAGCTGCTTCACACCCCCTCTGGGCCGTGGTTTCAATGTTTGGCTCTCACTGGAAAGGATTCTTTTCTCTGATTGCAAATTTCCCTGCTACAACTTTTAGATTCTGCTTACACATCACTGACAAAACCAGCATTTTAACAGTGGTTTGTTTCTTCAAGTCAGGGCAGCCACCAGAAAAAATTAAGTACACAAATACTGCAAACTTAGTAACTTAATGGTAAAAAATGAGTTTATTTCAGAAGTAAAAAATAACAAGAAGGCTACAAAAAAAGGACATATATTCTAGCTAGAACATATTTTCTAGGATTTTATTCTTATATAAAAATATCTCCAAAAGCCTTTAATAAGTCTATGATCCATCCTGAATCACACTATACATATTTAGCTTTTCACTGATTAATAATTTGAAAGTGCAGCTAAGGTCCAGAGCAAATCTTCTCAAGATGACCACGTTGTAGCTGGGAAACGAGCTGGAGGGTGCCTGGCTTTGGCCCGTGAGGCGAGCCTTTGTCTGAGCTGCCGGACTTCTGCCATCAGCTCCCACTCCTGGCGTGCCAGGTCTGCTCGTCTTCTGTCTAAAGACAACCAAGTGCAAGAAACTTAACATTGCAACTAGTGGTTTTCCATAAACACTACAAATACCTGTTGGAAAACAGACATCTCTGGCAGAGAAATGCTGGTTTTCAGTACCACTGGATGTGAGGCAGCCCTCAGACTGGTAAGAGCAAGTTCTTTGAAAGCGGTGCCTCCGCTGGCTACCAGGTCAGGTGCAATGGGGGCTACAGCAGGTCTGGAGGTTCCCACTACCTGCAGACTTTTGTATTATATACATATAATATATATATAATATATATATATAAGGTGCATTGGAATTTAAACTGTGCTTTCACTGCCAGAGCAGCTAGGACAGACCAGAGGAAATTAGACTAATTCTTGACTATAACCCCCAGTCAGATTTTGATGAAAGACAACTCTACAGCCTCTCAACATTCCTGAATCATAAACAGCTACGAAGACAGGAAAAGCATGGGTAAGATGATCAGGTCAGAATGCAACTAAAGTAGGCTGAGGTTTACTAGGACCACTGTCATAACATGACACACTTCAGGCACTTCTTACCTGTGCCATCCCTGGGAGCAAAGACATTTTCTGCAGGTGTGAAAGAGAACACAACAATAAACTGGTTTACTATCCACTAAACACCTACACAACTAATGACTCAATCACACAGCTGGGTGTTCCAGCAATGCTCTGAAATGAAATGTGAAAGAGACTCCTAACTTATAAACTTACTGTGTGGTGATGATGCTAATGTAGACAAATCATTGAGACAGATGTTTCCAGGCCTTGGAACCTGGTGGACTTCTACCCCTCTCTCTGGACACCTGGCCTTTAAATTGTGCAGTCCCTCTGTGGGAAATGGAAAGAAGGGTTATTTGTAACTTAAAAATATTGAAGTTTCTAGTGAATTTTTCTAGCTGGAGGTAAAGCAGTTTTTCTTCAGGAAGCAAAGCTAGAACAATCACCCACTCCAGTTAATGGCAAGTACAATTTGCTCAGAATTAGAGGTCAATGTTTCTACTCTTCAGGTCAAAGCTATGCATCACAGCATTTCATTTTAAGGAATTACAGCTCTGTAATTTCATTAATTTCTTAAAATTCCCTTTAAGAAATTACAGCTCTTTAAGAAATTACATGTGCTGTTTCTTCCTATGTAATTAATCTGACAAACAGGCCACTAAGATCATATGGAATATGGCTACTCATGCTTGTAGTTTTAGGAGCCACCCACTTTAATTATGCACAGTTGCAAAATACTGCATACTAAAACATTAGGTAAATAAGGACAAAGGCTGAAAAAGTTTGCCCAAAGCAATACTAATCACCTAACCCTAATATTAATCACTAATTTTATGTGCGCCTTGGAAGCATGGTGGGGGGGTAGGAGAAATACCTGCAAAAACACACAAATGCAGCACTTGAGAAGGATGTACTGACCAATTCTGGAAGCACACAAATGTGTTGGGGTTCGTTTGTTTGTTTTTTAAAACAAACACTTGGAAAACACTTTGTTTTTTAAACAAACACTTGGAAAACCACTTCTTGGTATAATGCTGTATGTCATCACAGGACAACATTATTTGACAGAAAATTTCTAATGGATACAATTTTACAATTGTTTCAAGGTGAGCTAAACCTGTGCTCCTACCAAAAATGCCATTTATATTGCTGCAGTTGATAGGTATCAAACCGAAATTTCTTTCCAAGTCTGGCCTTGGAAAACAGATATATCTGTTTCATGAAAGAATATTGCCAAAAAGCACTTATGGAATGCTTAGTAAGGAGTTACGTTGAAGTTTATCCCCAGTATTGGACAGTTTGTTTGTATTCAGTCATTGAATGCTTCATGCCAACATCCACACAGAACTGTGTTATCTGCATGCTCACCAAAATGGCCATCCTCCCTTTGCAGCTTCTCAGCCAATTTTAACTCATCATTCCTTTTGTCATCTAAGAACTGCTTCCTGTGCCCATCTACAGCAGCAGCCGCCTTCTGCTCTTCCTCCAGCTGAGCTTTATTCTGTACAACATCTTTCTGCTGTGCAACAGAGATATTAAATGTCTTCAACAGATGACTTGCAAGGAAAAAGCAACAAATAGAACCATCTGGATTATTACAGATTACACTTCACCCTAAAATCAAAATATGGGAGTCAGCTGTGTGAAGGTTTCATTTTGAAAAATGTCTCATTCAACCATCTGGAGAAAGGTAAAAGTCTTGGGTCAGAGAATAAAAATGAGAGGAACTTACAGAAATAGGAATGTGCTTTCCTAAGGCTAAAACATCCTTACTAATTCACTCTTGTGCTTCCAGCTTCCAGATACTTCCAGTCAAAACAGAAAAGGAGAGTTCTAACAAAATATTTCTCTAATACATCTCAGCTTTCTGCACTCCCTGTTACAGGTGGTTACATTTTTGCCAGGCCCACTTAGAAAAAGAAATTATGCAAATACCTTTTTTTCTTCTGTCTCCCTCATGGCCTTCAGCAGTTCAGCTTCTTTCACCCTGTTGTCATGCAGGAGCTCGACAATCTCCCTGTAGCGCTTCTCCTGCTCCTGGTCATCACGCCTGAGTCTCCGCTGCTGTTGCAGCCTCCAGTCGGTGTCAGTGTGCTTCTGCTCAGCTTTGGCTAAATTTTCTTCAGCCACCTAAGAAAACACCTTTCTTACCAGAAATTCAGTCTATCCCAACTGCACAGCCTTACCTACAGACCGGGCAAGACTAACTGAGGTGTTCTCCGGTATCCCTGTCAGATGTCCCTGATAGAGCCATTCACTGACAGGTGCAGCTGACATAAGATTGATACCTGAATGCCAATACTTTCACCCACATCCATCTGCTTCCAAAACTCAAATGCTGTTTACAAAAATTCAGACCCATATGTTTATTTCTAGACAATACACAAATGCAGATGCCAAGCATATGGCCAGTGGGATAGCTGCAACTATTTTTCCAACTGTGCAGTTACAAGTTCTGAGCTTGAAAATCTGAGCAATTCCTAATGTCAAGCTACACACATTCATTACTGCAATTTAGAAGACAGCTTCTACAGCTGAATTTCCTGCCAAGTACTACCAACTGAAACCTCCTTTGAGGCTGTCTTTTATTTTGTTATGGTTACAAACAAAACATGTTCCTTATCAGGAGGATGACTTGTTTTGAAAAGCACTTTTGAGTCTTATGTGCATTCTAAGTTTTGAGAAGTAAAAAAAATAAAAGCTAATATTTCTGGCAGGTCCAGAGAATTTCAATATTATACAGCTGTTTGGACACTTCAGTCAGATTTTTGGAAATCTCAAAACTTTAAACATAGAATCTTAATCTAGGTATCTAGAAATGAGATTTTTTAGAAAATATTTCCATATTAACTTGAACTAGTTAATTACAGTCAAAATACTATTAACTAGTGCTAATTGTATAAGTTAGCATATTGACTCCCTAGAACACATGTTAAGATCCAATCATCTTACTGTATGAGCTTTCTGTATTTCTTCTTTATCTATTTCTATCAATCTCTGAACACCTTTCAGAGCCACCTTTCTTTGATGGGCTTCCACCTCATCTTTCATTTCCTTTGTAACTGCCTCTTGGTTTTTGATTAGATGCTGCCAAGCACACAAACAAAAATTATCGTTGCTAAGCTACTAGCTCACATTGGTAATTCCATCTCTTTAACATTTATTAAAATATCATTAAACTAGTATTTGAATATATCCACACATCTCATCCCACTACATATAACAACTGCCCAAAAAAGTCATAGACCCTGCTGTTTTATCCACTTGGAATTAGATAAAGCACGAGTCATAACAGTGGCCTGAGTCATGACAAGGGATGTAATTCCATTCTCCAGATTACAGTGGAGAATAAAAGCAGATTTCCAACCTAAAAGAACCAGATTCATCATGAAAATATTCTGAAATTTATGGCAAATTTTAGCCAAAACCCCAAAATGTTTCTTAACTATAAAGTGTGTTTCATGGCCCCGAGATTTGCAATAAATACATCTGCAGCTTGAATGCAGAGATGATTTGCCACAGTAGTACAACCCAGCAGCAGACCTAGAAACATCATTTTAGCTTACCACCTTTTTTTCACATCCACCAGGGCACATCTACACTATTTTCTGCAAAAGTTATAACCCCTTCCCAGGCCTGTAGGAATCTACTGAGCAACTGCGGCAAAGTCAACATCCTTTGAGGCTGGAGCAGGGACCCTCGCTGACGGCAGTGAAACAGTGCAGGGAAAGCCTGTCTGCACAGACTTTGTGGGCAAACAGAGATCCTCAGCTAGTTAAATAATTGCTACCTTTCCAGCCTAGAGAGGATGATCACTGTAGAATTAGTTCCTTAGAGAGCTGACTTTATATGTACTGGAATAAAAATGAGCTTAGCCTGGTTTGTGTTATGTAGCCACAATACAGCTGGCTGTGTATTGAATAAATAAATGCTAACAGAAATTTAGCCCAGTATGTTCAGTATGGATTATAAAAAGTTTATGACCAAAAGCTTTAAAAAACCCAAATATAAGCTGACACGTTTCAGAAATGAGGGTCAGAGCTGGATGTCTGTTTCTCCTTTATTCCATTGGATCTACACATACCCAAGATGGATACATGTAGCTTTGATTTCTAAACAGTTAACTGAGTATTTTTAATAAAAATTAACATTTCTAAAGCCTTCCATTGGCATTCTTGCTTTGCAGTAATTTATAATAATTATTTATAATAATTAACTAAAATTTAACTTTAAACAGAATTACTGATTAAAGCCATTTATTACTGAATAGCCATATTTCTGAATAAATCAATCATTTCAGAAAGGAACTACACATTCCTGATGAACCATCCACTTCTTTTTGCTTAATGATGTTGTTGGCAACTCGACATTTTTGCATCACCTACATCAATCTGCTATACTGTTCTCTCCAGAAAATGCAGATATGTCTGGATATCACAGATGAAAAGGTGGGAGTTTCTGGATGAAGAACACACTTTATACACTTATTTCTTATTTACATGTTCCTCACTTCCCTCAAGCCGCTGAGCCCACAACTAAACCCTGCAGGCCACTGTGGAACCTCTCAATCAATGGCAGAGTTAATTTGCAATCTGGACATACAGCCCACAGACAGCTGGGAATTCACTAGTCCTTTAAGGAGCTCATTACATTTTTCAACACTGCCACTAACTGTTAAATTATGCATTTAAAGTTGAAGCAGTCCACCTCATGCTTAATACACCTCTGGGCTCACAAATAACAGTATATCAACTAAAATTTTAGTTATGCATTTTTTCCTCATTTATTTTCCCTATTAAGCCTTGTAGAAAATAATTGCTTGAGCAATACTCAACCTTTCTTGCAATTTCATCATCAAGACGTTTCAGTTCCATTTGAAGCTGATCTTGCTGGTAGTTTAGAAAACACCTTCTTGAAACATCTAAAAGCTGCAGTTCCTTTGCTTTCAGTTCTCTTTTCACAACAGCAAGCCTTCGAGGCCAAAATAAACAGAAATAAACAAATAACAGAAATAATACTGTATATGTAAAAGGTCATTACCAAAGAGCACAAACACGCAATGCAGTTAGCCATTAACTACTGTGAGCTCATCTCCAGCTTAACAAAGCTTAGGACAGCTGATTTCATTCCTGTAAAATGTCCAATTTTCATTTATGAGACAAAATTAAATTCACAGATGCACATCTTCTAGTGGCAATATCCCCAGTTAAGCTTTGAAGTCCTGTGCTCTGTTTCTGTTCCACTTTAATAAGTATTAGTTTAATGTTGCAAGGATTCATAACTGGAAACTACTCCTTAGAATAACTGCCAGTGTCTTGATACCTCTTGCTGCACAAAATTAGTCCCAAGTTTATTTGGTAAATATCAAACTCTTTCAAGGAACAAAACCACAAACTCAAGGATTAGCTTGTAAATAAAGGCTTACTGTCATCTTTAAAAAAAACCACCCAACTCTGTAGGTTACAGAAGTTTAGGAGATGTGATAAAAACGTGGTGGTTAGGGACACGGTTTAGTGGTGAACTTGGCAGTGCTGGGTTAACCATTAGACTTGATGATCTTAAAGGTAATTTCCAACTTAAATGATTCCATGATTACCTGTAGTTCATCTAAGAAATTATGGAGATGTTGAAATTCTCTTAAACCTTCACAACTGCAAAATGTACAAACTCACTGTTCAGCTTCATTCTTATCACAGCTCTTTGCTTGTAAACCGATACACAAAGCAGTGGTTTTTCTCAATCCACTAGAAATCCAAGGCTGTGTACAGTCACTGATCCTGTAAGTGACTCTTGTATCTGCAGTGTGGGTCTGCCCACAATGCAAGTCTGAAGTCTCTGTGTGCAGACACACAGCAATTGACTGTTTAAGAGACTTCCCAATCCAAAGGAACCAGAAAAATGTCTGGGAGCTGAGACAAGAATATGAAGTGACTTGACCTCTAATCTGCTGTATTCCCTCCAGGGAGGAATAGGCGAGGTAGTAATACAACCCAGATCACTTAATTCCCACACCAAAATATGACCCACCAGACCACAGTTATCCCACATTACAATTTATACCAATTAGTGGTTATTTCTACTTTACTCATGGTTAAAAATGTAATAGCAGCCTACAGTAGCCAGACCCCTAATACTTCCTATGTTCTAATACCTCTGGCTCTGTTCTGCCAACTTCTCTTCTTCCAATAGGATTTTTTGCCTCTGTTCTTCAGCTTCTCGAAGTAATTTCTGCTTTCGATACCAGGCTTCATCTTCTGCTTTTTGTTCCTGTGCTTTGGCTTCTGATTCATGTGCTAATTGTCTGCTTGGACGGAAGTCACATGTTAATTATTCAAACCAAATATCAAGAAATTACTTGATTACTTTGAAATTGATGACAGTACTAACAAAGAACTGCTGAAATGAGATGACATGAAAGAATATGGCATCCCCTTCATAGTGTCAAAGTCCATGAGGAAGAGCTACCATACTGACTGTTAGAGACAACAGGGCAATACAGATGAGTGCAGGTACTTTCTTGCTCACATTCTTAACAAAAACTGGTTTCTAAGGGTGCCTTGGCATCATGGTACCCACTGATTTCAATAGTAAGCTAAGAACTCCTGGCCCTTCAAAACTTGGGCCCCACAAGGTCAACAGAGGTTTAGGCTCTGGCTATGAGCTTCCAAGTTTGGTGACTTGTAGCCCAATATCTTCTGCTAATTAGCAAACATTTTTTATTTAAGATAAGACTAATGATTTAATGTAAAAACATGTCAAACAAGTAATTCTCAACCTTTAGCAGCTATTTCAAGTCCTTTTCCTGAATTTTCTTATCTCTCTTCTCAAGACTACACATTACAACATACAAAGGCAATTACGTCCACCTGTACTTCCCAGTCTGAGACTGTCTTCAGTTTCTCACTAATACCTCTCTCGCAGGTATTCAATTTCATCCTGTCTGATCTTCTCCCATTTCTGAGCTTGATCATTCACAATGAACACGGGATATTTATTAAACACAGGGTACTGTCCTTTTGTAAGTGGTGTGAAGTCATCAAGCATATGCTGTGGATGGATATCCAGCGGTGTAGCCTCCATAAGGTGATAGGCTTCCTTAATCACAACATTAATGTCCACGTTGTTACGATGATGAAAGAAATACTGTAAGAGACAGGCTGCCATTTACATTCTACACAACATTATGCACTTTAATGTATTTTTACATAAATACATGTTTATTTTTAATGCACATATTTGGGAATTATAATGAAAAATAGCAAGATATCTATTTGAAAAGTTAATTTTAAAAGTTTTTAAAGTTTTCCCTACCAATTCATAAAACATCACCAGCTCAAGTGACTTGAGCCAAACTTCTTCAAGGTGGGAAAGGATGCTGTGGTTCTTTTCCTTCTCTTCAAATGGCAGCTGTATAAGGGATTTGGGAAGCTGGGTGTCAGTGTAGAGTGTCCAACAGTGACTCCTACCACTGGATAAACCTGCCCTGACTTACAGTGTTGAGCCATGAAGCTCAGAAGTTTCTCCTCTTGCAGGGTTATTCTTCCTGTCAAAGATTTTATCTACCAAGAAACTCTCTAAACAGTCATTATTAAACATAGCAATAATGTTATCTGCTTAATGTCAGTCAAATTGACTGCTCATAAGCACATTTTAGAGGTGGAACCCTTTGTTTGCCTACAGAGATATTGTCATAAGAAACCTCTTCCCATGGAACATTAAACATAAAGAAACATTTTAATTTAGCTTCAGAGAACATCCAATAATACTGCCTAATTTTGAAAATCTGTCAAGACAATAATGAAACAACATCACAGAATTATTGTGTATTGTCTCCAGAAGCAGAAGTCCATATTAGAGCCTCAAAAAAGAGACAGAATTATTTTGTGCTTGATGAACAATTGAAATTTTAAAAATGGCCTTTAGTGACATTAGAAAGCTTTTAAAGTTCTCCTTGCATGAAACTGCAGGAAACTGCTCAATGTTTTCCTCATTTATTGTGTATTTGTCAAGTACCAGATACTAATTTGGAAAGGGATCTCCTTGTAACCTGTCTAACAACGGATACAATGCCTTATACACCTTTTCCACACGATTGACTTAAATATGAAAATATTTACCTCAAAATCTGCTGCTTGATTACAGTGGAGCAAGGGAGCTCTGGAACATATAACATAGGCAACGACAATCATTAGAAAGTATGAAGGATGGTTGGAGAAAATATTGTCAAAGGTTTTCAGCCATTCTTCTCTTGTTAGAACCTCAGATAATAGTGTTTCTAGGAGAGGCCAAGCATAAACCTAAATTATTTGGGAAAATTGACAAAATGATCCATTAGTACAATTTAACCATTCCTTTTAAAGAAACAATGTGATTTTTCTTGCCTTATACCAAGAAGCTATTCATTTATGAAAAAGGAAATAAACAGAACATTTCAAGGTAAGTTTCATCACCTACTGTAAACATACAAAGTTAATCTGAGGTGATTACAAATACATTTCTTATTTCACTGGATGTCTAAATGTTCTGTTTAGGTTTGTGAAGCTAAAATAATCCCTAATGATAAACAGGGATTAGAAAATTAATTCATCACACTTATGTCCATATTAGAAAAGGTACATTTATAATTTGATGAGTAGATTTTTAAGCAATGTGGACTTGAAAGCAAAGAACTTCTAAAGAAATAAAGTAGCATATATATGATCATGGACAAGGCAAAACATCAGGAAATCAATGATATATTCTTTATACTCTCACATAATTCACTGTTATTTAATGAAAACTCCCCCAGACTATTAATATATCAAAATAAAAGACCAGCGCACTATTATTCATTGCAGTATATTTTTGTATACAAAAGCTGTCTACACGATTACCTGTGAAGTCACATTGTATTTTATTAAATGCTGAAGTAGTTCTTTATCATGATGTGCCAAAACATTTTCCACCATACCAAGGACGTTAAATGGAGGATTGGGAAAGTACTCAAACCAGTGCTGACAAAAATTAACTGAAAGAGAACAAGAAGCTGAACACAATCCGTTGTAATCCAGAGCGAAAGACTGATGACAGCCTTGAAGTTGGTTATCAAGCAGATGCATTTAAGATGTTGTTTCAGGCAGCAAAACCTGTTTAAGATATTCCCAAATCTTTAAGATTTCCCATCTCTCTCCCTCCAGCTGCACTGGCATGGGTTTTTGTGTCAATACACTGTGAACCAGAATGAAGAACTGATCTGGCTCAAATACAAAATGGAAAAAAAGTCTGTGAGCTGTGGGACTAAAGCATGGGAAGCAAATGGGAATATTTAAATCAGTGTTTCTGTCTCACAAAACTATGGCCTGGATCATGTAATTTTTAACGTACTAAGAATAATTTCTGTAAACTTGGATACTTATTCACCAACAGCATGTGGCTGCAAAGTGGGTATATATACTTGGCAGCACACATCTTCTGTAGACTTAGCAGCAGCTGCAACAACTAATTTAAGTGTAAAGCACTTTAATTTAGAGTGATAGCCACAGCCAGTGTTCAGACAAATGTCTAGTTTTGAGTTACCACATGCTCAAGACAACTAAACAGAGTTTAGTTGAGAGAGATTATTCAAACCTTGAAAGAGATCATTCCCTGTTGACTGGGCGCAGGTGACAGGTGGGGTGGGTGGCTGTGACTACTTTTCCCATGTCTCAGAGACTTAATTGTTATTATATAATTATGCTAGATACATATGGGTTTGCAAATGGTAGATACATTTCAATAAGACTTTACAAGCATTGTTAAAACTGCTAACCTTTTGCTAGAAACACTGCAAAAGGAGATTTCATATTTTGAGGTTTTTGTTTTAAGCTCCATATTAATTCCTGGTAACACCCTGGTGACCTATTAACAAGGAAATACTTTTTCATTTCAGGAGGAAAACCTCTTTTGCTTTGGAAAGCTTAAACACGTTGAAGCATATTTGAGTTTTTAAAATCATTGCTTACCTACTACTGTAGCAACAACTTCAAAACAGATCAGCTGGTTGTTCTGGAATAATTTTACAAATGGGAATGCTAGCAAAGGCATGTAAGGTGTCTCAGCAAAGATAGCAGACCAGTGGGCTAGAGCTGACAATGTCCTGTACACAGAGGTAAAGAAAAAAAACTGTGTAGAAAACATTGATCCAAAACCAAACAAAAATATAGCATCTATTTTACAATCAAAACATAGAAAGATTGCGAACTTCAAGACAGATGCAGGATTGTATGAGTTACCAAAACAAAACTGCATGATGGCACTACTACGTCATTTTCTAATTTTTCTTCCAGCTGCTTCCAGCTACTGGATACATTTCAGATGACTATATGAAAATAAAAATCTGTAATATTTTAAATAAATACAAACATCTATTTTACCTCTGTAGAACTCTCAGCAGTTTCCCACTTTTGATAGGGTACTCTTTCTGAATATTTACGAATGCACTGTGGATTCCTCTATCTATCAGGCTACTGAATGCCAAGTGGTTTTCAGGAAGTTGTAATAAGGAACGCCAAACAAACATCCTGCAATTAAAATGCAGCCTTAGTCAAGGAAATTCTTTTTCACAGGCCAGTAAACACAAGCAATTTTATTTTGTGCAAGCATGAACATGCACACAAAAAACACCTGTACTTAGCTGGATATTCTCCAAATTCTTTCAATAAGGCCTGCAGACGTTTCTTGTTTAATCCACCTGGCAATTCATTCTACAAAACAGGAGATCAACAATAAATGTAACCATTTTCTATTTTTTTGCACTCTAATTGATGAGAGTGGCTAAATATTGGAAGTTTATCACATAGTGTCAAAGAAAAAAATCTAGCATGTATTGCTGTCTGCTACATAGTCCTAGGAACATCAACAACAACAAAAAGGTAATTCAATCATCATTTATTGTCTCCTGAACTCAAGGCACAGCTGCCATTGATTTCAGTCAGAAGCAGATCGGACCCAAACTGACTGAACTATGTACAATTAAATGATGGATATAGCAAACCATAAAGAATACTAACATAATAAATAGATCATATGGTGATACATAAACAGGAATATATATATATATGTACACATAAAAGGCCCAAGAAAAAGAGTGAGAAAATGGCACCATGATGACAGAGGGGAATAAATGTCACAGTAATTAATCTGCTAAATAATTAAGAAAAAAAGGAAATCGGTCCTAGGCAGACATTTTAGAGGTGCCAGTTGGCTTTCTGAGGGGAAGCAGATCAGATCTAGCAAATACCAAATGTGTCACAAGTTGCTTGAACAACTGCAGAGGTACCCCAGACTGGAGGCAGCTCTGACTGTATCACATACTGTAGGAGCATGGGCTAAATAGAGAGAAAAAAATGGTAGTAAAATTTCCTTAATCCCTGCTCTGCTCAAATATCCAAGTGCTTCAGTGCCTGAATTTATTTTTTAAAGCAAATGGCAATGAAATAGAAACACTGCAGACTGAACGACAAAATATTTGCAATTTCTTCCTACCTCTTTATTTTCAAGTGATGTATTTGCTTGCAGTTTTAGCAATCTGCTTTGAATTTTGCTTTGTTTGGATTTCCATGGCTCCTTTGACCTTCCTGAAGTCACTTTTGTGATCAGTTTATTTGCCTCTGAGGTGTACTTGGGTCCATCTTCTACAACTTTGAACATGAATGGTGGAGGCTAGTATTAAGTGCAAATACTTTGGTTAAAATCTTGTAAGATGGATTACAAATAAATATAATTTGTTGCTTATTCTATTTTATATGCCACATTTTTGAGCTTGATGGCCATAAAAAGAAGACTAGAAGCATATTTATACTATAAATAAACAGATATAGATTGTATTCTCCTGGAAAAGGATGTCCATTAATAAAACTGCTCTAACTATGAGAAGGTTTAGGTAGCTTCCAAGCTAACTCAAACATCATGTTATTTTCTTGCTTAGCAAACAGTAAAAATATAATTGGGATACTAGAGATGTGTATCATGTACTGTTCAGGTTATTTACTTTAGTGTGTTTCTCAATGTCATTAAAATATTTTGCATTTCTATAACACCAGTTAAAAGAATACAGAACACCTTTACAAACTTTAATTAGTCTTCAGTGTCAGGCAGGTACTAATTAATTCAATGCTGGAGATTGTGAAAGCAAGTGACAAAGTGGATATCCCAGTTTATGTCAAACCGTCAGCAAAAGTGCACATGGAATGTGTGTGACATCTTTACACATCCTTCCTCAGCTCCAGCTCCATCATTATCCAGAGCTGGTTACTGTTTACTTCAAAGACATGGTGATTAAAGATACATGGAATTCTGTATTTAGAAACCTGACTCCTATTAATAAATTAATGTAATAAAATAAGAACTGGTATTTAGAATGTTTGTTATTTAGGAAGGATTAGAAGTGTATGATTGTGCCATAAGTGATGGGTGCTGGTATCCAATAACACAGTAAGAAGAACAAAATCACAGTAACAAAAACATCATTCGTGCCCACAGTTTAAGAGAGCATTAGTTGCAAAATATTTCCTGTAGGAAATGGAACAGAAGAGGCACAATTATTCTGTTTCCATTTCCTCCAAAACACCATTACAAATTGCTATAGAAAGAAATACCATCTCCCCCTTCCAACACTAGTAACACAGTGATATATATACCTTGAAAACATCAAATTACCTGACAGGCTGGAGGAACTATGAAGGAAATTGTACAAATCACTTTTTCTTTATTTGTATTGTTAAATATGGCATCTCTGCAAACTACTGCTGATGCAAATCATATGCAGATAAATATCATCTTTAAGAGGTCTTACTGCTGTTTTAAGAAGTGTAAAATACCTTATTTCCTTCTTGAGTCAAAGCTTGGACACTGTATAGGTTAAGGCTTCCATTTTCCATTACTGAGGCAATATACCGTCCATTCGGGCTAATCACTGCTGTACTAATTCCATCCTCAGGACTCCCAATGTCAAAAAGAAGTTTGCATGTTTCTATATTGATAAATCTCATAACATTATCTTGACTCAACACTCCGAGGACCTACAGGTTAAAAGGATTCATCCATTAATACTGCCAATGTAAAACAAAGTGGAGCATCCAATTTAGTAACAACATTCCAATAAGCTAAAGCAGCAAAGATTCAGCACAGTAATGTGCATTTCCTTTTGTGCTGTATACCCCTATACCCCCAGAGCCCCCCAAAAGCCCTCCAAGTATAGGTGTTGAATCCACTACCCAAATACTCCTGTCTTAAGCTTTATGAAAAAACTGACCTGATTGGAGCCCCCATCAAATTCATCAGGGAGGAATTCCAGGTGACGGACAGCTCGCACTTTCTCAGGCATCTGGATTATTCTTATCAACCGCTTTAATTCCAAACACCATACGTGAAGATGATTTGATTTCCCACCAGCTACCAAAGTGTGGCCATCCCTGGATCACAGGTAAAGCTTCCATCAGCATATTATAATTTAAATTAGTGTTAGCTAAAAAGAGAGATTGTTCATTTTGTTCTATGCCCTCAAATCAGTTCTGAATCAGCCATTATTCCTGTGATACTCTCCTGAAAGAACAAAATAGCTCCTAAATAATAAAATTTCCTTTAGTAAAGGATAGTTTAAACCTTATTTTAGTGGTCACAAAAAAGCAACCTAATTTATTTCAACTGCTATGGGACTATAATAAAAACTATATAAGCTATAAAACTATAAAAACTATAAAAACTATAAAAGCTATTGATCCTTGCTGAAAATATCAGTCACAGCAGAATTCAAAAGCTTATCATAGTCTATAGCTCAATACTTCCACAAAATATTACAAATAAAGAAAGAGAACCTGTTTAAAATCATAATTTTTATAGTCTGCCTTTAGAACGTTTAAAATAGCAATTTACCTGGTAACAGCAAACACCTTATAAAATAATACAAAACCTTCTACAGGAGCTGACAACTGGTATTTACAGTGAAGAGTATCGAATTCCCATGCAAAAACAGAATTATCTTTGAAACAGCTGAGAATGGTGTTACTCAATGGAAGAAAAAAAACCTGGAAGAATATGGAAAAGAAAAAAAAAAGGGATGTTGTCAAGGAAGTACATTTTAAATTACCAAAGTGCATGGCAAAATAAATCATGGGAGGTGTGGCTATTACTGTAAGTGTGCTAGGCTTGGATCCCACAGGGAGCTGGCCCTTGTCCCCTGTGACAGCCTAGAGAAGAGTAGGTGTGTTCTCCTTGCACTGGTTAAAACGTGTTGTACCCTTTGCCAAGCCAGTTTAACTAACTGAAATAACTGTTAAATTTTATCTGTCTCGTTTTTATGACTGTTAAACTTTATTGTTTCCGATGAGTGCAGAGAGGACGCAATATAAATGCTGGGGACATCACTGGCTGAGATTAAGTCAGTGCTACAAAGTTCGTTGTTTTGGTCTGAATGATTTCTTGGGGCTTTGAAAATCTGGAAATATGGATAGGTGGGCTGGGTTTCATCTTAGTGACTGAAAATCGGACATTCAGGCCAAATGAGTCACTTGACAGTGAGCAAAAGTAACCTGTGGGGAAAAGAGTCATCTCAGCTACCAGAGTAATTTATCTTCAGAGAGACTGTGCTGTCTGTCCTTCAGGGACCCTGAGGAAAACTAGACAAAAAATTGAGAGCAGATGAATTTTGGTAAACTGGAGTACTGAATAGTCGCTAATTTTCTGCTTTGCCATAGAAAAATACCACAGGATGGTCACAAGCAGCTGTTGAATAAACAGTGATGCTTTGGAAATTATCGTTGTAGATATGTTATATTCTCATCTGTCTCACCTGCTGTCTCTTCACTCTGCACCTCAGTCTCTATCTTTTTAAATTAGCTTTGCCCCATACCAACCTAACAGAAGGTGTATGTTGGAGTGCAACTGGGCTTAAGAGGCATCAAAAAGCACACAAGATGGATGTGACACTGCTACAGCGGTTCAGAGAGCAAGCAAGAATCCAGCTTTGCACACCGAGTTTCAGGCCTGCGGTCTAACAATAAATCTGAACTTCAGTAAAGCACGTATTTACCTGTATGTCTTAGACTGTGGGATGAGAATAAATACCATTATTCTAAAGACAGGAAAATGAAATCTAGATCATTTGCATAATGTCCTATAAGAAGTGGTAGCACCAAAGAGAGCAGGCTCCTGATTTCCAAATGTGATCTATTAATTCAATCATAATCTCTACTGTTTGGCTGTAAAGTTTTTTCCATACTGCAACATCCTCATCCTACTAAATTCCAAGAGCCACTTACCAATAAGTCCCTACACATAGCCTACACAAAGCAAGATACTGAGCACTAGAAAAATCTCCACTAGAGAAATGCATCCATCTTTGGAGGAAGGATGTTATAATTATTTTAGCAACGTATACTATACAACAGTTTTAATAAAACAAATAAACAAAAATTTATGGATGACCTTTTACAGTAATTGCTAGGTGACTATTTTAAGCTGACAGAATTTCTGCCTGACCCAGAACTGGGTGAGGACACTCAAATGAATAGCCTTGTTCTCTGCAAAAGCAGCACGGCTTTTTAGTGGCCAGCCTGACAGGAAGCTTGGTTTGAAGTGGTGTTTGTCAGACTATTCACTGCAGGGCAGCACGTGTGCAAGCCATGCTCAGGCACTGGGTCAGGACTTTCTGTAGTACTTAGACCAAAGTGTGACATTTGGTGGCGCAGGCAGACCTGTTTAAAATAGTGTAATGCTAAGGGAGACCTACTTAAACCACTCCCTGGCACAAACATGTCATCCTTCTCATCCCATGCTGTCCCAGTGGGTCTGTGCAGCAAACAGAAGCAAAGACACCACTAGGCTGAGAAGCAGTGATTTCTTTTTGCTGAGTTCCTTTTCAGCCTCATTTGTTCCCACATTCAGTGCTTTGCATGCACAGACAGAAGAGCTTTGGAATAAGAAGCTGAATGAGGCAGGTGGTGGTGACTGTTTGAAGTTACCATTATGACACCAAAACTGGTTTTTTAACAACACTCTTAGATCCCACTATCATTTAGGTTGGAATCAATCTACACAGGTCCTGAGCCCACCCTAGGCTAATGCAAGGTCAACCTAAGAAGATTGTTCCAACTTCCAAGTTAAATTGGGTTAGTCAAGGTCATGTCCAAGCAAGTTTTGAGTATCTCTAAAGATGGAGGTTCCTTAAAAGTTCCCAACAGATCTCTGCAACTACTGACTCATTATTTCAGTGATCTGGGTGATGTGATAGGATGAAAGTTCAGATGAGATGCCCAAAGATGACAAAAAAGATTCATCTGTATTTTAAAGACTATTTACAAGTAAATTGATTTTAATAAGTGATCTTATACCTACTGTGGTGTGGTGTGCTTGTTCAGCCTTTAGCAATTGCTCTTTACTCACCTTTTGTATACCAACAGACTGACGAACATTCAGCTTTCTTATTCTTTGAAAGGTGTCCAAGTCCCACAGTTGAGCTGTATCAGTGGAAGTAGTGATGGCAAACTTGCCTGACTCATGGACAGAGATGGAAGACACAGAAGATTCATGGCCTCTCATCCAACTAACTAGCTCCTGGGTTTCTGTAGAAGTTGATGAAAATATATGAAAGTCATTCAACCACTGTCAACAACTACTACTTTATTCTTTATTGTCAACACTATGCTGTGAAAGACTTTTAAGCATAACTAGTATATAACCATTTGCCATCACAGCCCAACACACAAGAAACAAAGGTATCAGTCTTCACATAGGTTTTATACCTGTGTGGCACAACCTTCTCCTCATCTCCAAATAACATTTTACAAGTTATGCTTGGTTCTGCACAGAAAGCCAACTTGCACAGACTTGATTCATTTAGTCTAAAAATCAATCTTAGAAAGCCATGAACAATGTGATCAGTTAAGTTCAGCATGCCTCATAGAATATCTGATGTGAACACCCACAGAAGCTGAGATTGAATGGTCTGGTTAGAATTCTGCACTTGTTTTTACTTGTGGACAGAATGTGTGAATGATTACACAACTATTTACAGGTGCAAAGAATAAAGGTTTAATGACAATGGGCTATGACTACAGAAAGGCAGAGTCAGAAAGCAACAGCTCATTAATTCTTTTAGAACCTTAAACATTTTTATGCTGTGCACTGCATTCTAAGGAAATGGTTCCTCTGACTGCAGTGTCTCCCACTTGTGACTGCATGACCACTAATCTTCCCTCAGCAGCCAAACCGCACTCGTGGCAATTACACTGTTTACATTGGGTGGTTTGCCTGGCAGCCCATGGAGTGGTTCCAGCTACTGCTGTGGCATCAAAGATAGGAAACGGCTATAAAGCAGCTCATAAAGACTAGCAGTCAAACTTTCTGCTGTGCTTACAGACAATGGAGCGCTTAAAGCTATCATCACCTGAGAGGTGACAGGGGATTAGAGAGTATGTATTCTGAAGAAGGGATGGAGCCCATCAGGTAAGAACTGTCTAAATACCCTAAGGAACTGTACTGATTGAGGTGAGCACCATTCATATTTTAGCACATTCTTCAGTATGACTTGATAAATGGAAACAGCACCATATGAATATGCAGTACTCTCTGGAGTAATAAGGATTTCTCTAAGTGCATCCAAATATCTAAGTTTGGTCTTGCTGTTGTTGAAAGGAAGAGAAAGAGTGCAGAGGATTTCAGACCTTAACTCTGACTTTTCCTATATTTTGAGCAACATTGTGCTACATTAAAATCTTCACAGATAATCTCAAGCCCTAAAACTGTAGATGAGTGACTCCTACAGCTTTTTAAAAATGTTTAAATCCAGGCAATAATTTGATATAATGGAGACATTACAAATGCATTTTCTGATAGGTAAAGAATAATTTATGAAAAATGAATTGTCACTGCCCTTCACCATTTAACTTTCAATCAAGACAGAGACATGCAGCTGTAATTTAATTTTTAATTTTGCTTTTCAATAAGGATATAGAACTACTTGAATACTCAAAAGTATTGACATTTCTTTTAGTGTACACTGTCACTTTGTTCAAATATTTTGCTGTAAATATAGTTAAGAATTTGTTCAGTTGCAAACTAACATACTGTCAACTGGTTTTGGCTTTATGTTAATACAGTACTTCATTCTAAGTAAACATATAAAAAACTGCTTTAAGGAAATTAACATACCTAACTACAATCCTGTGGTGGACTTCAGTTAAACAAATGCCTGTGTGACTCAGTGAGAATAAAGAACTTTGGCAAAGCAAAGGGTTCATTTACCCAAGGACTATAACCAACATGGGCCCAAACTTTTCTTTTTAGACAGATGGCATGAAATACATAGTATAATTTCTATAAAACAAACTGTCCAAAAATTTAAGGTCAAAACTAAAATTATATATGGTTTCATGCCAATACAGATAGCATTTAAGCCTTGAAATTTCTCCTTACCTGTATCAAAGCACTTAATGGAATAATCTGCCAAAGCCACAAGGAATTCTGTCTTTCTGCGAAGATTAAATGCCAAAGCAGTGCAAGCCTGCATTGTTCTCTGAACGAGGTTGAACCTATTTAAAAATACACATTCTCATTGTGTTAGGAAACTTTGGTTCATTTAATGTCAAGTGAAGTAGTAAATTAATTGGTTTCAATATATTTTACAGAGAGAAAAAAATAAACTCAAAAGAAGGAAGGAAATAATATCTAATTATAGTAGATCTAAAAATGAGTGCTAGTATTTTAAACTCTAGTATAGTAAAACTCTAAAAAAAAACTCTGAAAGACTGGTTGATGCATTTCTGCAAATGAAAGCACTAGGTCTAGTCTACTGTAACTCATTGACCTGTACTGGTCCAAGAATAACTTCTGGTGGTAGCCTTTAAGTTCTATGGCACCGCTGTTCTTTTTACAGTTGCAAGCCTCTGATCTTTTTGAGCAGCTAAACTAATGAAATAACATTTAGGGAGCCTACATGAGACAGTGGGTTGAAGTTTCGGCCCTGAGCAAACTATTACCTATTTAAAACTATCTAGTTAAAACCCGACCCGTGGGATCCTGTCCAGGCAAGTTCCACACACCTGAATGGTACAGATGTCTCAGACAATTAAAAAGTCATAATAGAAATATTCTTACCTGTTCCCATTCAAGTCAAAAACATATATATTCCCTTGGCGGTCTCCAGCGAGGAGAGAATCCCCAGAACTGTCAAAAGCCACATTCAGAAAATGTATTGTCTTTGAATGGTACCCCTGGACACTGTGAAGGATGTTCACTATAACTCTGTAAAGAAAAACAACCAGCAAAACAACCATGCTTAGAATAATTTTATTACCATTTACATCTGCAAGACATAGAAACATTTTAGTCCTATCTTATGATTTTACAATTCTGATTTTCCATGTTCTATGAAAGATCTCCCATGAAACCCATGTACTTCTATATGAAAAGTATGCTACAAAGGAAGTAATTCACTGGGTTGGAAGGTGGGTAGGAGATATGTAAAGCAGATGGGGGAAATTCACCATTCACAATCCTTTCACGTGGTTCCTGGTTACCTGATTTCCATTATTCATGAATAACACTAATATACACGGATGTATCTGAAAGCCCAATTCAACCCTCAGAAAGGAACCTGGCTCATCATTACCACTGCAAAGAAACGTTCTAGAAAACTGAGAAGCTGTGCAGTACTGTAAGAAACCAGTCTTTAGATATGGGGAAAATCAATTTTAATATCACTTCTTTTCACAGTCTTAGAAAGTATTTGGATTGTTAAGCCTGGAAAAGAGAAGGCTCTGAGGTGACCGAATTGCGGCCTTCCGGTACTTGAAAGGAGCCTACAAGAAAGGTGGAGAAAGACTTTTTACAAAGACCTGGAATGGCATGACAAGGATGAATGGCTTCAAACTGCAAGAGAGTAGGTTTACATTAGACATTAGGAAAAAATTGTTTACTGTGAGGGTGGTGAGATAATCAGGCTCCCTAGAGAAGTTCTGGATACTCCATCCCTGGAAGTGCTCAAGGCCAGGCTGGATGGTGTTCTGAGCAGCCTGGTCCAGTGGAAGGTGTCCATGGCAGGGGGCTTGCAACTAGATGACCTTTGAGGCCCCTTCCACTGCAAACTATTCTACAATTCTATGAAGAAAGCCTTTTTTATTACTATTCATCTGTGCTATTACAGAACAGAACTTTCTAGTTTTCCACTTCTATCCTTATAAGGCACTGTCCACACAAACAGAGCCAGATGCAGAAATGAGCTGTAAGAGGAAGGTTTTTCCAGGAAGCAGGACATCGAGATTTGGAAGATCTGCTAATCCAGGATTTATTGCCTAACACTGAACAGCCCAATCATTTTGTATTATCACTTGGATGTGAATTCACAGTTAAACTAAACACCAAAAGTGTGCCAGATATTGGCAGGCTGATTAAAGACTGCAGAGCACTTGCGGAATGCTCTGACCATGGTTGCATGAGATGCTGATAGCTTTCTGAGGCACAGAATATGCTACTCAGAATGCTCTGACCATGGTTGCATGAGATGCTGATAGCTCTCTGAGACACATAACATATTATGTGTCTACCCAGCACCTTCATGGGGCTGTGGGGGAATGTTACATAGTCTGAGTGAACACTAGAAGGTCATACAACTATGGTGCAGACTAGAGATAAAACTAATTGCACCTCACTGTTAAGCTCATTCTTTTCTTCCACAAAAGGGCCATAAAAATGAAATCAGAAAGATAAAATATTTTAAAGTGCAATTGAAATCTAGTGATGTTTGTGTGGGATTATGACATTAAAGACCTTCTCAGCGTCACTCTCTGCCTCTCAAAAGTTTCCCTGCATCTAATCTAAGCCAGGAGAACACAGTTACGAGTTCACGGGGCCTCTGGGGACTGAGACCTCCAAAGCATCATTTGTGTCGCTGCTCTTCAGCTTAGACCAGACAGTATTTACATAGCATACCACACTGCGACTAATCTCTTGGAATTCCCCATGGCATTTTATTCAATACACCTAAACAACTAGGGTAAGTGTCCAGCCAGGCTGCGCAGCCTGAGCGCGGGGGTTTCACAGCCTCCTTGGGGACCTGCTCCGCCTTCAAGAGGGATCTCATTAATACATGGAAGTATCGCAAAGGCGCTGCCAAGAGATCGGTGCCAGACTCTTTTCGGTGGTGCCCAGCGACAGGAGGAGGAGCAATGGCCTTAAACTGAAACACAAAAGTTTCACCTCAGCAGGAGGAAGAACTTCACGCTGAGGATGGCAGAGCACCAAAGAGGCTGCCCAGGGAGGTCGTGGAGTGTCCCTCTCTGGAGCCATTCCAAGCCCACCTGGGCGCGCTCCTATGGAAGCTGCTCTAGGTGACCCTGCCTTGGCAGATCTCCAGAGGCCCCTTCCAACCGCAGCGATTCCGTCACTCAAGGGGAACGTGCTCCTTTCGTTATCTAACCGGGTATCCCCGGGTGCCCCTTCCACAGCCCCGCAGAGGCTCAGGTGGGCCCGGGCCGGCCCTGCCCGTCCGCCCGCTCCTCTCGGGCAGCCGCTCCCCCCGGCCCGGCCCCGTTACCCCCGCGTTGCGGCCGCCCCCGCCCTGCGGCTCCAGATGGGCCCGCGCCGCCGCTCGCCCAGATCGCAGCGCTCCATCCCCGCCCGGCGCCGCCGCTCCCGCGCTGCCCGCAGGGCTCCGCCCACGCTCCGCGCCGGGGGGCGCCGCTCGCGTGGTACAGCCCGCTCCCGCTTCACCAATGGGGAGGAGCCAGAAGGGTGGCGAGCGCTCCCCCCCCAGACATCAGCGAATGGAACCGCTCCACCTGCGGCCTCGCGGGCTGCTGGGAGTTGTAGTTTCCCTCGCGGGCGTCGCGCGGCGACCGGGGTGGGGACGGGAGAGCGGAGTGCGGCCAGCGCCGGGCAATGCAGTAAAAACGCCGCGTCCTCGCAGGCAAGTGCGTTTATAACGCAGTGCAATAGGTCACTCAGAACATGGCTTTTCAGGCTGTCGCAGGCGCAGGACTTGTTCCCGGTTGCCCCCGCATTACAAGCGCCTTGCGGGGAAGGGAACGCCGGCTGACCCCACAGCCCGTCGCCCTCCAGCGCCGGCTCGCTCCCGCTCCGCCCCCGGGCGGGACCCCCGCTGCCGGGGCGGGGCCGGAAGCAGCGGCGGCGGCTCGGCCGAATTCGGTGGCGCCACGTCTGGCTCGGGGCCCCCTCCGTGAGCGGGCGGCAGGAGTGGCTGAGCCCTCGTCTCGCCTCTTCTTTACTTCAGCGGCCGGTTAGTGGCGAGGCCTGGGCGGCGGCCAGGCGCGGCTGCGACATGTCGGACCTGGGGGACTGGTTCCGAAGCATCCCTCTGATCACGCGCTACTGGTTCGCCGGCTCCATCGCGGTGCCGCTCGTGGGCAAGCTGGGCCTCGTCAGCCCCGTCAACCTTTTCCTCTGGCCTGACGCCTTCATCCACCGCTTCCAGGTAAGGGCCGCACTACCGCTCCCGGCGTGCCCCGCGGCGCCCGCACAGTAACTCACAATGACACACTGCGCGCGCAGCCTTCTGGGAGTTGTAGTGTACAGCCGCGCTGCGGGGCCTCGCTGGGGCTACGCGCGGGGCCGGCCGCTGCCCCGGTTCCGCGGCCGCGCTGGAGGCGCCGTGCACCGAGACAGGCCAGGGGTGAGCAGAGCTCCTCTGGCGGGAGTGCAGCCGCCGTCCCGCTCAGCCTGTACGGGGCCTGCGGGCAGAACACCGGGCAAATCCGGGCCCAGCCTCACGCCCAAGGGCCGCCACCGCGGGGACGGGCTGCGCGTCCCTGCCAGGCTGACAGAAGGAGGGAGGCTGCCCTGGCAGCGCTGTTGTTCGTCTTGTGCCTCATTCTGGTGTGGTTTTCCCTGCAGTTTTTGTGGGAGTTGTTCTAGTGGGCACTTGGTTTTACCAAGGAGCTCTATGGCTGTGGCAGCAGGTGACTTGCCCAGCTCTGTGTCCTCGTGTGGCTGTGACTTTGGGAGCTGCTACTTCAGGCAAACCTCCCAGACTGCAGCTGGCCCGGAGGTTTTTTGGCAGAGCTACAAGAGAGACATGGAGCTCCTGGGGTGGGTACAGTGTGGGGTAACAAAGGTGATCAAGGAACTGGAGCATCTCTGATGAGGAATGGCTGAGGGAGCTGGGCCTGCTCAGCTGCGAGGAGAGAGGACTGAGAGGAGAGCTCGGCAGTTTCTGTAAGTGTCAGAAGATAAACAAATACAAACGGGAAGAAACTGATGCACGGGAAGTTGCACCTGACCTGGGTGGCCATGCACTGGAACTGACTGACCAGGGAGGCTGTGGAATCTCCCTCGCTGGAATTATTCAAGAACTGTCTGAGTGCAATCCTGTGTCATGTGCTCTAGAATGTCTGCTTGAGTCGGGAGGTTGGCTCAGATCACCCACTGTGGTCCTTTTTAACGTGAGGTATTCTGTGATTCTGTAACGAAGTGCATTTACACCTTCTGGTTTGGAATTTGAAAAAGCTTCTCTTAGGGACCGACAACTTCTATGCTTAGATATGGTCTATGTAAACTAACAACTGATGCCCTGAGGTGTCAGACATGCAGTGTTTTTCCTTGCACTGTGATGCTACAGGTTTAGTGTTGGGGAGAGCACTCATTGGAGGAGCTCAAAATGAAAAAAGATAAAAGATTTCAATTTTTAAATTTCTGTTATATCATCTCATTATATCTTCACTGAAGAAAGAAAAAAAAATAAAGACATGACTGTCTCTATATCTTGATTCATGTATTATTAGTAGCATAAATGACTGTTTTTTCCTCTAGTTCTGTTATTCCTTCTTGAACTGTGATGTTCAAGATCCTAATACCCAGTTTGGAAATGTTGCTGCTTTAAGAGCTCATTCATGAATGACCAGACATTTTCTGTCCTTGCTACGTGCTGCCATGCAGTTGGCTATGCCCAGTATTCATAGCTGGGAACTGTCCCAGAGCAGATCCCATACGCTCAGAGTAGCACGTGCTGTCTGGAATGGTACACTAAAGGCTGTGAATTCTTTGGCCTCTCTTCAGCAGAGAAGAATGGGTTTTGTGTGGCTGTTTTTTAAACATGGTAGCATCCTTGCCAGTGAATCTCTTTTGCACTGCATTAAAGTGTCACTACTGCAAAGATGTGATGGAAAGCAGTTTGAAAAGTTGTGTGATATTTCTGGTGTAGTCTTAATAGCTTTGCTTACCAAACTGAAAAAAACACCACAACTAGAAAAGCTGCTGATGCAGGACCAATCGATACTTGGGCTATTTTTAATCTTCTTCTTGATGTTTCAAGTTTTCATTCATTATCAAGTAATGAATGTAAATAAAAAACCTGGGAACATGAGTTCATTCTGCAGTTTGTAAATAAAGCTTTCTCTTTTGATCTTGACAGATCTGGCGGCCGATAACAGCAACTTTCTTCTTCCCAGTGGGACCTGGAACGGGATTTCTCTACTTGGTGAATTTGTATTTCTTGTATCAATATTCATCACGACTAGAAACAGGTATGTTGACCATTAAATTGTATGCCCCTGGTGAAGTCTGCCTGGAGCTGATAAGAGATGGCTCATCTCTGTGCCAGCTTATATTAGTCAATGTGAAACTGCTCTGAAAACTGATTTTCTGTGGCTGGATCCTTCCCTTTGGCCATTTAGGATCTGAACTTGATACTTGTTTCAGTAGGAGGGCCTGGTGCTTTTAGTTGCTGGATTTAAGGAAGTGAGACAGATTAAAAGGTGATGTTTATCTCTGTGGTTTTGTAGCTGATGTTTTTTATCAGAGAAGGATGATAGAGCATAATGTAATAATGGGCTTATCCATTGGGAGAAAATAACTTCACTTTTTTCTTGTTTTAATAGGGATGCTTATTTGTGTTATTCTGTTGTCTATGTTGAATTGAGAGATACCTCCCTCAGAGAAGGTCTACCCCCCTGCCTAACAGATATGTGGAAAAGTTAAGGGACTGGGAGGATTTTCAGTTAAGGGGGAAAATTAAGTAAAGGAGATCAGATAATAGATCATTTCTCTCAAACAAAGGGATTGTTGGTACAAGGTATCTTCAAAACTGGTTTCCTTTTGCGCTGCTCAGTTCATTAAACAAAAATTGGCTTAATTGACATAAATAATTAATATATTTGCAAATCCAGACTCCTCCTGAAAGCCTTTGTGAACAAGAATTTCAGTATCTTTCTAATGGAGTCTTAGAACTGATGGTGTAAAGGGGAATGCATTGGAAGGTGATGTTGGGAAGTCCCACAAGAGAGAAGAGATCCCTGCCACCCAGAGAGTATTGTGGAATCACATTTAAATCTTAAGAAGAGTGGTAGGGAAAAGCAGGAGTGGTGCCAGATTGTATTTGGTTGTTTTCTTAGTGAAAGATAAATACTAATTTAATGTCTAGAAATGGTTCCTGTTTCCTTTTGAGCCTTTCTGCAGTAGTTTATGAGTACATGAGAATGGTGGCAGTTCTGACTGGGCAAAGGTAGGTGTAGTAGTTCCTGGTTAATTTTGCCAAATAAAAGACCTCACTGCTTGTAGATATACTTACAAAATGCTCTAGTTTTCTGTGCTGTGGCACAAATCTCATGAAAGAGAGTAAATTTCTTCTGTACATCAGATATTTCTTCTGTACATCAGATCTGGATTTTGAAACTGGGAAGTCATCTTTATTGTTTGAACCAATGCATTTCTTTTATATTACAGTCATTTTTCTGGGTATAAAGGAAATCCTTGGTTGGGTTGGCCCTTTCTCTGAAAAAGGCCTGAATCCTTCTGTAGTTGGAAGGTTTATAAGTTGCTGATAGTGTTTACAGGTGGAAGTCTGCATTGGTCTGTGCCTCCTTTTGTCTGTGAAACTGAAAAAGTAGAACTTCTATTTTCAGCATTGTGCATGCTTTTTGAGCATACATTGCTGCTGCCTGCCACCTTCAAATTTAGCTGTCAGAAATATCCGTATGGTTTTGTGCTGTTTCCTAACAGGCTGACTTGTAACTTCCAAAGGAAAGGGAGATTGTTGTGGTTTTGTTTTGCTTTGGTTGGAGAAGAACATAACAAATATCAACAGAGTAAGCAGAATATGCAGAGCTCACTCCCCAGCTGTATGACTGGTGAGATTATGGGTCTGCAGCTTTTCCCAGATGATTGGATTATACCCTGGCCTCACAGAAGGACCCATGGGGTAGAGCTCACCCCATACCTGTGCTGAGCTTTCTGGCAGTTTGTAGTCCAATTTCCTTAGATGTTTATTGAAAAGTCAACTTAAATGGTTTGTCTGATACTCCTGTTAGCAATCTTGTAGATAATGAGAAGAGAAAAAATTTAGAAGAATAATAATAGCTTTGATTTTTTCCAGTTTTGGAAGGATTCCTGAGCTGGCGTTTCTACAAACTTAGTCAGCTTCTTCTCTTTATTTGCTTTTATTTGTTGTATGGCAACAGTAAGGAAAAAACCTTCAGTTTCTGTAGTTTTACAACATTAACACTTTTTGATATGTTTTTCAAAGTATGTTTTTTTCCTGTCATATAATTTGCAAGGCAAATTACAAAATTT